AACTCAAAATAGTTTAAAGACTTCAATGTAGGCCTGAAACCATAAAACATCTAGAAGAAAACATAGGCAGTAAACTATCTGACATCAGTCAAAGTAATATCTTTTTGGACATGTCTCCTTGAGCAAGGGAAACAAAAGAAGAAAATAAATAAACAAATGGGACTACATCAAATGAAAAAACTTCTACATGGCAAAGGAAACATTCAACAAAACAAAAATCAACCTACTTACTGGGAAAATATAGTCGCAAATGATATATCTGATAAGGGGTTGATATCTAAGATATATAAGAAACTCATACAATTCAAGAACAGAAAAAGAAACAATCCAATAAAAAATGGGCAGAGAAAATGTAAAGATATTTCTCCAAAGAAAACATACAAGTGGCCAACAGACATATGAAAGGATGCTCAACATCACTAATCACTAGGGAAATGCCAACAAAAACCATAGTGAGATACCATCTCACACCAGTCAGATGGCTATTATCAAAAAGTCAATAAACAACACATTGGTGAGGGTGTGAAGAAAAGGCAGCCCCTTGCGCTTTGTTGATGGGACTGAACACTGGAGCAGCCCCTATGGAAAACAGGATGGAGATGCCTCAAAAAACCAGCATTGGATTTTAAAGGATAATAAATTCCCACCATGGCAAAGAAACACGTCAATAGCAGTGAAAGCACAGATGTTTTAAGGAGTTGCCTTGTGTAGAGTTCTTTGAAGTAGTACCCTTTAGAACCAGTCCGGAATTAGACATTTGTGCCTTGCTCCTCTTTGGTCCCAGGAACACAGGGTCAAGTTATTCAGAAGCATTTGAAGTTGTTTGGAGAACTGTGAAGAATTCCACCAGACTAAACAAATTATACATGACTTCAAGATTGATTCCAAAAGGTCTGCTGATGATAGTGTCCTTATCAAAGATAGCAGTGATGCTTTGGATAGAATGAATCATTGCTGCAAAACAATCTTATTTGAGAACCAGCTTCTCCTCCTTACAAATGGGATTGATCTGTGTGTTAGAAAAATGCTTCTGTTGTTTCTTCTCCTGTGCTGGAGACGTGAATGCCGAGGGAGGAAAGTGCTAGCAGCCATGCTTGTCAGGGATTAAGGACACTGAGCGTCCAACTTCTCTATTGTCCATGTTGATTCCTTGAACCTTTGTACTTGTCAGTCTGCTTTTCCAATCCCTGTTTCATGATGGACACCTAATTTATTCCTGGGAGTGGAGGCAGCATGGCATAGCAGCAAGAGCAAGAGTTTAGAGTCAGGGTTTAAATCTTGGCTCTGCCCAGTACTAACTACAAAATGTAGACAAGTCTTTTTGACTTCTTTCAGCCTCAGTTTATTGTCTACTAAAGAGGTTTAGTGATTCTTTTTATGATTTTGAGAACTAAATAAAATGATATACATTAAAGTGCTTAGTAGGTAATGAAATTATACTAAAAAGGACAAACAAATCCGCATATTGTGGTGCTGGGTAGGCTATCTTTAGGCACTCACATGCCAAAGATGGTTTTAAAAGGTTGCTGGTTTGGTAAATGTTGGGTTTGAAGTGCAGAAGACACTTAATTAAGACTCAGAGGATATGGAATCTACCATGGGCTCTACACTTAACTACTCTTGTCCTTTGGTTTCCAGTGAGCTGAAGTGTGACAATTGTGTCAAATGACTCCTAGAATCCCTTGTACTTCTAAAATTCCATGAATCTGTGAAGCCCAAAAGATGTAAATTTGAGGTGTGCCTGTGTTCTTGAGAAACTATGGTACCATGTATGACGTTCTATTCTGCAGAAAACACCATCCCACATCTTTGAGTTCTGCTGCACAAAGAGGGGTCCCTTGCAGCCATACACATCATTCAATACAACCTGCACATTATTCTCCATTCCATAGTCATAGCTGTTTTGATTAGGGGTGAAAAACTATTAGATGGTAGGTCTGTTAGATTCTCTTGCTAGACACTTGGAATTAGAATATGGGAAGTCTAGTTAATAGACAGTGACGCTGGACCTAGAAGATTATCAAGTAGGTGTTTAGAGACCGAGGGTACCATTTTGTGGAAGCCATGATGGGTCATGTGAAAGCAGAGTGAAGGAAGGCAATCTAGAAGTAGGTTTGATGGAAAAGGAAGAGAGAGAGAGAGGGAGGGAACAGTGAGGGGAAGATGGAGAAAAAAAACTTCTTTGGTCATTTTCCATTGCAGTCATTCACAGGCCTTGCTATTCTTTCTACAGTTGAGTTCTGTGAAGTTTCTTTATATAGTTGACCTTCGAACAATGCCTGGGTTAGGGGCCCCGACCCCCTGCACTGTCAAAAAACTGTGTATAAGTACAGTTGGCCCTCTGCATCTACAGATTCCCAACCACAGTTTGAAATAGTGTATTCTCTTTCACCAAAAGCAGACTTGAATGGCTTTTCTATTCTTTATGTCCAGCCATGTTGTAAGACATGGTGACACAGATTAGGAACTGGTAACATGGACTGGGAATCCTTCAGCAGCAGGGATTTTGTTGTGCTCCTTTTTGGAACAAGCATTTGACCCAGCATTCTGCACAAAGTAGGTGTTCAATGAATTTATACTGAAATGACATGAAAATCATATATTTGTATGTAAAATAATGGCATTTCTATAATAAGGGTTAATTTTAACAGATGATTATGTTTCAGGAAGCATTCTCTGAATCCTCCCAATTGGGCAAGAAACATTATTGAACACTGTCTTCACTGTGTCTTAGGACCTATTCAGACATAGCTCACTGTAGCTTTATTTTAAAGTGTTTGTTGAACTTACTAGCCCAGAATTGCTTTACATACTGTGGAGATACAAAGTTATATTCTATATAAGAAGCTTGCAGTATAACTTGAAAAATACAGATACAGAAAGAAAGAAAGAAAGAAAGAAAGAAAGAAAGAAAGAAGAGAAAGAAAGAAAGAAAGAAGAAAGAAAGAGAAAGAAAGAAAGAAAGAAAAGAAAGAAAGAAAGAAAGAGAAAGAAAGAAAGAAAGAAAGAAAGAAAGAAAGAAAGAAGAAGAGAAAGAAAGAAAGAAAGAAAGAAGAAAGAAAGAAAGAAAGAAAGAAAGAAAGAAAGAAAAAGAGGGAGGGAGGGAGTGAGGAAGGAAGGAAGGAAGGAAGGAAGGAAGGAAAGAAGGAAAGAAAGAAAGAAAGAACAAAGAAACCAACTATGGTGATTTGCAATGGATTTCAAATAGCTGGGAGAATGGAGGGTCAACAAGGTCTATATATTTAGAGAAGGTTTGTGGAATAACAAGGAGCTTGAGCTACTCATTTGAGAGCTGGGCAGAGAGATGGAAAAGGGGGACAAAAAGCCAAGCAAAGGCATGGGGGCAGTAATGAGAGTTGTTGTAGAGTACACACACTTAGAACTTAACAATTCACATTAAGAAATATGAGACGGAATGACCAAGTATGGGAGGCAATAGAGGATTATGGTTGAGGAAGCTGAATCTGGCGTTGGATCTCTTGAATTCAAATCCCAGTCCACACCTATCTCACCTCTTACTAGCGTTGTGACGTTGGGCAATTTATTTAATCTTCCTGTTCCTCAGTTTCCTCACCTGTAAAATTGAGGGTAATAGTATTCACCTCATAGTGGGGCTGTAAGGATTAAAGGGGTACTGTTTGTAAAGTTCTTAGATTAGTTCCTGGCACTTTGCACAATCAATGTTAGCTGGTACTATCTGTTGTTACAGGTATCTGGTCAGATAATAGATATCTGGTGGTAAGACCTAATCAAAAGAACTATCCTAAGCCTGGTCAGTTTGGCTCAGTGGTTAGAGAGTTGGCCTGCAGACCAAAGAGTCATGGGCTTGATTCCTGGTCAAGGGCATGTACCTCGGTTTCATCCCTGGTCAGGGTTGTGCAGGAAACAACCAACTTATGTTTCTCTCACATCGATGTTTCTCTCTCTGCCTCCCTCCTACTTTTTCTGAGAATCAATGGAAAACTATCCTCAGGTGAGGATTAAAAAAAAAAAAAAAAGAACTACCCTATTAATTTTGAACTGCCATATTTAATAGTAAATGCCTTGGTCATTTAGGAAGTCAGTTACTGTCTGAGTTCTTACTGAATTGTTGGAGCACTCGTAGGGATTGGTTTGGGCAGGAAAGAACATGGAATGAATGTGTAGAAGCCAGTGGAAGGTCTTGAGAACTAGGGGGAAGAATTTGGACTTGGTGAATAACTGCTGGGCATGGTTGTTTTTTCCCTGAGCAGGGAAGTGATATGACTAAAGTGAAAGAAGGAGAGACAGGGATAGGAGGCCCAGTGAGGACCTGAGGGAGCTATTGCAGTAATTCAGGTGTGAGGTGCCAAAGGCCATGGGCAGGGCAGTGGCTGAGAGCTAACAATGTGGTGGGAAACCTGAGAGACTTCAAAGCAATAGTGTTCACTTCTCATCACCTCTACTGCTGCCACCCTGGTCAAGGCCACCATCATCTCTTGTTGGATTACAGCAACGTCCCCCTAACCCCTCTTGCGTCTGGCCTTGTCTCCTGCAGTCTTATCTCAGCACAGTGACTCCTCTGTGCACACTGTGCGGCAGCTCCCACCTCACTCTGAGGACACGCTGAACTCCTCCCTGGGATCTCTGAGGGCTGCACTGGGCCCTCCACACCTCTGGCCTCATCCCCTACTGTGGGCCTGTGTGTTCTGTCCACTCCACAGAGCTGCCATCCCTGCTGTTCCTCAGACGTATCAGACCTGTTCCTGCCCCAGGGAACTGCCTGGGCCTCTTCTTCCCCGAGATCTCTCCAGAGCTCATTCCTTCACCTCCTTTAGGTCTCTGCTCAAATGTCCCCTTATTAGTGACATCTTCTTTCTCTACCTTGGCACTTTCTGTCTCCCTTACCCTGAATGACTTTTCCTTGCCTTATCACCACCTGACATGATTTCTTCATTTGTTCGTTGTCCACTTTCTCCATCAGAGTGTTGGCTCGAGGCCAGCAGATATCTCTGACTGTCTTCTTGCTCATTCACCCACAGGACCAAAAGAGCGCCTGGCATATGGGTGCTCAGTGAGTACGTGTTGCATGAACGTGTGAACAAAAGCAATCGGATTTGTTGTACCAGGCGCAGTGCTGGATGCCTCTTCAGAAGCTGCCTCATTTGCTCCTTGCAGTGACCCTGTCAGAACGTAATGTTCTCATTGTCTCTCAAATGATATGGAGGCACAGAGGCAGGAGGTAACCAAGAGCACAGAGCTGGTAAGTGAAGCAATCAAGAACTGTGTTCATCCCTCTGACTTGGTGGTGTCGTTAAGATGAGATGGGAGGCAGGGGTCAACGAGGCACCACGCCTTCTAGTCTCTGAGCAGAGGAGGAGCAGCGGCACACCCACAGAAATGGGGGTTCTGGGAACGGAGGCCAGTGTTTTGGAGAAGAAGTAATGAAGAAAGAAAAGATTGGGTCAAGGAAGTACTCAGGGGGAAATCTTGCTTTTAAGTAGGGTGACTAAATTATACATTGTCTGAGACCCTTCTGCGAGTGAAAGTGGCCACAGACATCGACTGGGACCGTCAGCAAAGGGGGACAATGGTCTCTGGATTCAGGGGTTTGAGGAGTTAGAGAGACAACACAGCTAGAGATTTGGGTGTCTCCCTGCCACGGGGGAAGGCATGAGGATTGGGTGTTTCATCATTAGGGTGAGGGAAGAGAGAATGTCAAGGCCAGTTTCGAGACCCTCCCACAGACAAGAGTAGGAGGAGAAAGAGGCCCCTGAAGGACTGAGAAGAACCAGAAAGGAGAAGAGGCACAGAGGCCAGGAGAAGGGTGGACAGGATGGAGGGGAAGTACAGAGGCCGCATTTTGCAAGGCAGCTAAAAGTAGGTCAGCTGGAACTTGGCAACAAAAACGAGATTAGAAAATCACTTGCTTTTTGATTTTGTAGCAAAATAATCTAGCTCAACAAAGTGCTAAAAGGCATTTAATTAAAGTGGATTAAAATTAATTTTCATTTGAGGACTTTTTTTCTCCTACTGCCCTCATTATATATTGAGACGCTTTGGGGTACTTTCAAAGCCTGGATCAGGAATGAGGGATTGATGCTCCAGCCTGAGGTTTTCTTGTGCCTCTGCATGGCCTGAGTCACTGAAAGGTCCTATATTTAGAGTGTCATTGACACAGATAAAATCTGGGCCCCAGTTGGAAAATACAAAAGCAAAAGGGGATACTTTAGTGTCAGGAAGATTGAAAATTGAGTCTCTAAACTAGTATAAGTAATATTGCCTAAAATCCGTTAATCTGTTTTTTCTTGGTAAACTAGAAATTTTGATAACTTCATTATCATTCAAGCAAATATTTCCTACCCTAGCTTCTTACTTCAATGAGAGGAGGAGGAGGAGAGAGAGAGAGAGAGAGAGAGAGAGAGAGAGAGAGAGAGAGAAGGGGAGTCAGCAAACAAACAAAACTCTAGTTTAAAACATCGAAATGATAGCATTGATAAAAATGCTGGTGAAGTAGACTTGACAATAAACTAATCTATCAACTGGTGGTCTGTCATGTACAGGTAAGAAGTGAGAACTAGACCACTAGGCAAAACATTTTTGGCTATCCAAACATGGTTAGTCCACTTGGTTCTAGCCAGAAAGGGTGTTTTCAAAGTAGAGTATGTGTGGATAGCACATGGTTTAGAGTTCTCAGTTTATTAGACAGTGAAGTCACATGACCAGGGTCCTGGAAACAGACTCTATCCCTTGCGTTCCCTGAAAGCAAGTATTAATAGTTGTGTTGAGTAGCAACATCAGGCAGAAGATATGCAGCAGGTCTTCCCCATAGTGTCTTTTTATCACAACCAAAGTGTTACTGAGTTGAGGTGATCATGACACAATTTCTGGAACAAAAGGAATATAAACTTGTAGGATTTCAAAAGGAGCAAAATCATTAACATTGAGCCAAAGCCCACTGGCATGCACCACAGAAATCAAATAGATATAGAGAACTCCTCTGAGAGGGAAAATGCATGACTCTAGGCTACCCCAGTACGAGATGCTAATATTAATACCTCAGTACTGGTTTTCACAGAAGCAGTTCATCTGCAGCTGGTTTTCAAGCCACATCTAATAAATGTGTGTAGCCAAGGCTGACCTTGAGCAAAATGAGGGCGCAGGAGTGTGTCGGGGCTCACCACACCCGTCTGCCCTTCTCATCCCCACCCTAAAGCCTGAATCTCTTAAGGAATGGAAGGTTTGACATCCTAGACAATACCCTGAGGCCTGTGGTATGACATTAGTCATGTTCAATACTCTCTTCCTTTTCCCTTTTATCACCTTCCTCCCCCTCCTCTTCTTTTGTTCCATGTTTTATTTCCTTGACTTGCTTTTTCCTTCTCTTTGACCATTGTTCTTGTCCTCTCCTGAGATATTGATATTTAATGAGAGATATTAATGAGAAAGAGAGAGAGAAAAGACCAGGGAGGAGGGTTATCTGTTGTCTAGAGATTGTAAATCTGTAACATGCCTGGAACACAGTAAGGTCTCAATAAATACTAGTTGTTTTTAGTATTTAAAAGTTTGCCCTTGGAATAAATGTCTTTATATCCAGGACAGTGATTTTTAACCATTTTCATCTCATGGCACACATAAACTAATTATTAAAATTCTGTGGCACACCAAGAAATATATTATATTTTTTTGCTGATCTAACAAAAAGTAGGTATAATTTTGATTGACTTACAAAAAATAATAATAGTAATAACTACTTACCCTTTTTGCTCCAAAGTGACTTTTTAAAAAGGTGAGGTACCACCTTGGCTGGTTTTGCTCAGTGGTTAGAGCGTCAGCCTGTGGTTCAGAGAGACCCGGGTTTGGTTCCCACTAAAGGCACATCGTATCTCATTTGCAATTCGTCCCTGGCCCCTGTTGGGGTCATGTGGGTGACAGCCAGTTGATGTGTCTCTCTCACGTCAATGTTTCTCTCTCTCTTCCTCCCTCTTTCCCTCCCACTCTATCTGAAGATAAATGTAAAAATGTCCTCAGGTGAGGATAAAAAATCAATCAATCAATCAATCAATCAATCAGGTTCCTATACTTGTATATAAGGATTCCTGGTGCCAAGAATTAACCAATCAGATGTAACCTTATTATGTGACTTGACCAATAAGATGCAACCCTATTAGATGACTTATGTACTTATGGTTCAAGACGGGACATTCACACCAGATGGCTATTGTTGTGTTGGCTGTTGTCAGTGTTTTATTTGACAGTCTAAGGGAAAAGAGGTCAGTGCTCCTGACTAAATAGTCAGGTATTGCATGTTTTAAAATTTTTTGTGACACACTGGTTGAAAATCACTGATCTAGGGTAATTAATCCATTTGGGTGGGGGTTCCTTCAATTCTCTTAAAAAGTTTCTTTCCCTGAGATTCTTTCAGGGTGGTTATAGGTATATGTGTGTGCATGCAGCAGTCATAACAATAACTAATGCTCCTTTTATGTCTGCTTAGTGCCAGGCACTCACGTAAGTGCTTTACAAGTTTTAATTCATTGAGTATTCCTAGCCACCCCCCTGTAGTGGATATATCTTATAATGGCTCTCAAGGAAGCATTACCTGCTCTTTTTTCCACACCTAGTCAGAATCAGAAAGACTCCATATCGTAGAATCTGGGCTCAATAATTAAATAGAAAGTGATGATAATATTATGGAACACTTTGCTTTCATAAATCCTGATCTGCAAACAATAGCTAAAGAAAATGACCCCAAACCTAGAATTAGTAAACCCGAGGCTTAGTGTGTTGTGGCTGAAATTATTCTTGATTGCAAACTTTAGAGAAAAACATTATAAAAATTTAGTATCATGTCAACATCCACCCAGAGAAAATTCCTGTAGCATTTGTGGTTTGATCATTATTTTAATGCTCTGTTTAGTGATTAATTTTTAAAAAATTTTCTCTGATCATAAAAGTAATATCATGTTCATGGTGAAAATTCTGGACCATGCAGTCAGAGGTAAAAATAAAAACAAAAACGATCCCAAACCCCATCACCCGAAGACAGCAGCTATTCGTTCACATTTTGGTTCAGTGTGAGCATGTTTGGCCTACACATTGTTTTAAAATGCTTTTCATATGAAAATATACATTTCTAGCATCTCTTGAAAAAATAATCAACTTCTGACCAGGCTGGACTCACATTCTTGCAGGGCAACAGCTGCTGGACCTGAGAAGCAGCTGCCACTCTTAGGCAGGGTAGGGCATATGCATTCCCTCTGTCCCAGCCCCAACCACTCTCTCTTTTTTATTTGTACTTGGCCAGCTTCATTTACTTGTTGTTCTTAAGCCTAGTGCATAAAACTATATATTTTGGATTGAGTTTTCTCTTAGTTTAAAAACAATTCTAGCCCTACATTCAGGTCCAAAGTTATATATTTTGAGGGGTGGTTGTGGTAATAAAGGGTGGGGGTCTTTGGCCTCTTGAGGGAGAAGGTGGGTGAGCAGAGATCTTTTTCTTCTGGCTTCTGCTCTGTCTCCAGGTGTATCTGAAATTTAAACAAGCTCTACATTCTGGGGGATAGATTTCCTTAAACACCTCCTAAATCTATTCTGCGTGTAATTTATACAACTTTGGCCATATTCCTGTGAAGTAATAAAACTGACTTCATTATGCTAAGAAATTACTTCCTCCCTCTCTCTCTCTCTTTTTTTTTAGGCCTACGTCTTTGCATTTGACCCAACCACAATGACATTATAAATACTTACCCATGTTATTAAAATTATTTATAAACATAAATTTTAGTGGCTGATCAAGGTTCCTTTATATGGATATATCACATCTTCCTGACCTTCTTTTCTAGTGAGTGAGGGCTCAGTGAGAGTCAGTTCCAGTGGGAAGACCTGTCCATTGATGGGGAAGAGAGGAGACGGGCGCTGTGAGGATAGGGTACCGATAAAGAGACTCTAGAATTGGTTACATTCAGGGACAGAAGTCTAAGATGAGCAGAGTCCAAAATCAACAGGTTCGATGACAGTTGGGGGCCAAGAGGCACTGTCATAAACCTGCAGGAGGTCAGGGAGCAAATGACCAAGAATGAGGAAGCCAGTGGATGGGAAAGTGAATCCACTGTAATCTCTGGGTGCAATCATAATTTGTATTTTTTGGTTTTGTTTTGTTTTTCTTTTTCAACGAGATTTCCATGCCTGCTAGGTAAATTTTAAAGAGCTGATGCTGGGTATACCATAATTTATCCATTCCCCTAAAGTTGAACATTTAGG